CAAAAATTCACAAAAATATAGGATAATTTCTTTATTGTTTAAGCCCTAATGAGCTGTGGTGATCCTGGAAAACCCCTGAATGGCTATCGTACTGGCAATGAGTTCTGGGCTGGGAATATGGTATTTTATACTTGTGATCCCGGTTATTACTTGGTGGGACCATCCAACCGACTTTGTCTGGAAAATGGTGCATGGAGCGACTTAATTCCATCATGTAAGTTTTTATTCCTCACCTCTTTTCTAAGTTTACCTGGAAAAACTTTCATATGAAGGTATGGATGTCGATATTCAAGTTTTAGATAGTACAGTATATTTTATCATGAACTATGTTCTCTTAATATAAAAAATTATCATTTTTACACTTATTTTAACCCTCGACTATTTTCTTAATTCAAGATGTATAGCATTAATTAAAACATGTTGTTTTCATATATAAGAACCTTATTGATTGATTGATATTATATTTATATATTTGTAAATAACGTTTTTATCATTGTAAAGCGCTTTAGAACATCTGATAACTTAAGCGCTATATGAATTAAATTATTATTTTCATTATTTTTAACTAGCACTAAAACTTTATTAGCTCTTTTCCTTAGTCGGTGAATATATTGAGAATACAATGAAATTGACTTTGCTTAATAATGTTCCAGGCTATAAGAGGCATTATTCAAACATTCTCAAAAATCGAGGATATTACTATGATTTGATGGAACGATGGCTGGCTTCAGTGGCAAATAACCCAATGAGATGGGTACCATGCTACCAAAGCATACTTCACGGATGGGCCAGTAGAACATTCCATTCAAAGTGCGATGGTAAAGGCCCGACTATTACAATCATCAAAGTGAACAAATACATATTTGGAGGCTATACAGACGTCAGCTGGCGTAAGTATTCCAGTTTTTGATCTTTGCTATATTCGGGGGTTAACACAGAACATCCATCACATTGGTACAGCTTTTTATGCTAACAATAACGTATTATAATTGTTTTCTTTTTTAAAGATACCAGAAATACTTACAGCAAATCAGTCAACTCGTTCCTGTTTTCATTCGTAAACAAAGATAACTTGAAGCCATTTAAAATGGAAGTTGTCAAATCACAGTATGCAATTTGTGGACGTAGCATCTACGGACCATTATTTGGAGGCGGCCATGACATGGTTATTAGTGATAATGCTGGTAGCAACACAAACTCCTGGACGAACCTTGGACATAGCTATGCACTGATTAAGGGCTACACATACACATCAACTAAAGCACAGAACCTTCTTGCAGGATCGTACAACTTTCAGCCAGACGAGGTCGAAGTGTTTCGCCAAGATGGTTTAGAGGTTTAGGTGAAAGAAACTCTAACAAAACACAGGGATCCCACTTAATATATCGATGCCGCTTTTAACACATACGATGTTTACAGGAAATAGACCTGATCGGCTAAGGCGCTGCTATAAACGTTTCCATCCAATTCAAACTACCCGGGAGTAAGTTTTATTGTTCGTTGTATTTTCATTTCACANCTTTCCACTTAACTTAACGTGGTGTTCCGCAGGCTTCCAGAATTTGTTTCGTTTTCGTTTTTTTGTTTGTTTTTTGTTGTAAATTTTTGTGAGGGCGTTAATCTTTAGACCGTTAATCCTGGGTTATTTGAGAAAATGCGACTAGCCAATCAGCGCAAAGTTGACAAGCTTATGTTGTAAACATAACCCCCCGACAGGCGGAATTTGCACAGCAAAACTCGACCCAGTGGAGTAGGCTGCCTGTCATTTTATTCTATCCGAAAAATCGAAGCTAAAACTTAAAGAGAAATTGAAAATCTTTATAAAATAGCTTTTAAATGTCAATCAAATATTTATCGTTATAGAAATAGAATTTTATCTTAAAAATGAAATAACAAATATTTTTTTCTTTAAGACAACGAGACTCCCCTCCCTGATAAAAATAATTGTTCTGTGTTCTGCGCGGGTTCTCCATTGCTGCCATTGCATGCGAAGCAATGGCCGACTTCAAAAAGACTTCAGAAGGTCGTTGAAGCGACGTTCAAGTCCAAAGTATGTTTGGAGGAGACATTGCAAATCCTTTTTCTTAGCTCTTGTTTCCTCTAAGCTTTGAGGTATCTACAACATTGCTGGAAGAGCTAGAGCAGCTTATCTCCATCTATTCCAATAGAGCTAAAGCTTTTAATATTTTTGCTACAAATCAACTGTCGTAGTTCATCCTTTGTCGCATTTTCGGCAATAAGCCGCAAGCGTGCTCGACGATTTGACGCTATGTAACAGGTCAGTTACACATTTACTAGCTTTGAACTTACTATACAACGAGAGCTAGAACGATGACTGGGGTTTTTCGTGTAATGTCTTGATAGCGACTGTTTATGTCGAAACGACTCAAAACAAAATTCCATCGTGAAAAAAGTTCCCTTCTGAAAAACACATGTGTATTTAAGGTGGAAAATGTTTCATATGATCATTCCGATACTTAAAGGTTTATTTCTATAATCATTTTGTTTACTTATGTAAATAAATTCGGCACGACTTGAACTGTTTGTGTGAGTGAAAGGCGAGCTGCGGGTTTCCCTTTTCTTTATGAACACTTTCAAATATGACCGCTTCACAAAAATGCACGGGCTCACTGGCTTACAACCTTGGCGAATTCATATGCAGGCCTGGTCGCAAATCAATCACACAGTCATTAGGGATGTTTTTTTAACTGTTAAACAAGAATATTTGCCGTTTGTTTAACAGTTTCAAGATCCCTTTCTATTAGACGGACATTTCTACTAGTGCACAATTTTTTCGTTTCCCAAAAAGATCTGTTTCAAAGTTGCTTGCTTTCTACTTCTGGTTCCAAATCAAAGATGCCTATTTTTTGTATTTGCGAAAATCGCGCAAATGTTCACGGATGCACTTTGCGTTTTTAAATCATTAGATGAAAACGAAGATAGCTTAGGAATTGTCATTTTGTAAACGCAGATAACGTTAAATCTAAAGGCCCATGTGCATCCAAGAACCTTTGCGTTCGTACATATTGTTTTGCAATTCTCTTGTTGAAGGGTGCTTTGTGATTGGTTCGAAATCTAAGATAATGAGAAAATCGCGAAAAGCACGTTGTCCTTTAATGGAAACAATGCATTGCTGTCCTGGAATGCACTATCCAGTCTCATAGATACAGAATTCAACATTTTTGAAAAAGCCTGTATGATTAATTTGTTTTGTATTGCATAGAACACTCTGCAAGAAATGTGGAAACATCTATATTGGTCTCTGGCATTTATTTTCTTTTCACTCCAATTCATTTCATTCCATTTCATTTTACATTTTATCTATTGTAATTAGCTCGCGCTGTATTGCTATGTTTCCCCGCGCGCTTTCCGTTTTTTGCGTTG